TCCCCAGGAAAACTCCTCAAAGTTCCTCTGAATCTCTTCCTTTCTTTATAGCACACAAAATTCCTCTTCGAAGCAGCAAGGATGAAGAAATCTCTCAATTTCCCTCCACTCTTACAATCTCTCGAAGAATTCCTCACAATTTTTACACTCAAGCAAACACTAATGGAACCTTTCTAACCTCCAGGAACTCTAGTCTCCTCTCCGACTCACTCTAATTTTCGGCCAAAATCTTCTTTTAAAGTTGTGGATGAATTTTCTCAAGAGTTGGCTAAGCATCCCTTCAAAATTTGGCCTTATCCAAAGCCTGATTGGGCATAACCGCCGAGCTCGCCGTCGGTGCCCTCAAGGGCGCCGTCGGCAGAACTTCTTAATGAATTAATTATGGAGTCTTAGGAAAATCTCACCGTCGGCGGGGTCGATGGGGCCGTCGGCGCCCTAGTTCAATTCTTCACATTTTGGTCCTTTTCGCTTCAAATTCGCTCATTGTTGCATCTTTTTATGTCAAAAACAGCATAAAATAGGTATGAAAATCACAACATATTTTCTTCTGGTCAAAATCCCCCAAACTTAACTATTACTTGTCCTCAAGTAATTTTAGTACTATATAAAAGTTATGATCTATTGTAGTAAAGTTTTAATTCAGAAATACTATAAGTTTGATTTAAATTAAATATCATAGTGAGATTTTAAAAAAAAATTCAAGTAATTGAATTAACTCTGTAGCCACAAGATTATCTAGTCATCAAGTTTAAGCGTTCTGGTCTTCTATTCATTTCGAGAAGGACTATATCTTGCAATATTAAGTCACTTAGAATATTTAAAAGATAGGAACTTCATGAGAACTCTACTAGTAAAAGATATATTTCATAAATATAAGTTTAGGAATGTATTTATGTTTTCCATTTAGGTAGGTCCAGTGAAGCCAATTTTTTATTAGGCATATCCTCAAGCTTCTCCTCACTTTCATAAATTTTTTTCTTTCTTTTCTCTTTTTCATTTGGATTGCTTTCAATCCTATATATATATATTTTTCTTTTCAGGGATTGATTTCAATCCTTTTTTTTTCTTTTTCAAGTGAGGATTACTATATCTAAATGGCCTTAAATGATTTTGAACTTCACTTTTCTTTTCCTAAATTTGAAACTCAAAGCATTCCCTTACCTTATAAATATTTCATAGTTTTTACATCATTGAGCCCCAATCTTTTCTTCTCAAATGAATTTACAGATTCTTAATACTTCAAAATATAGTTTCCTTTATTTTAAATAGTTAACTATAATCTTACTGTGTGTTTGGGGCAGCTTGCGCGTTTCAGGATAAGCAGCTTATCCTGAAACGCCGTCCGCTGGTCGACCGCAGGGTTCGACCCGCGACCCGCGTTTAGTGTAAAAATGGAACTGCGTTTTCGGATAAACAGACAAAACGCGCGATCCAAACAGTACTGTGATGTTTTCAAAGATGCCCTCGCACTTATAAGCTGTCTCAAACGGGCCCTTATTCTCTTATACTAAATATCTTAAGTTACAAAATTAATTTTCATTACAAAAATATTTCTTTAAATCTAACATAATATTTAAATAGCTACAAAAATATAGTTACCTGAATTAAATTCACTACATAAAATCATATAAATAATTTTTAAAAATTAAATAGAGGACATCTAATAGTTAATCTTTTTCTTCCCTCCCCCAAACTTAAATTTTTAAATATGAAATAATACAGGTGGAAAGAAAAAAACTCTAAATATAAATCATACCTCGGCATTGTAGGCATTTTCATCATTCTGAATTTTGCAGGCCTTCTCAAAATTTCTACTTCACCTGGTATGTAACATCAGGAGCTTTCTACACATATAAATCATTAGAGAAATTTCTGGGTAATGAAATTTTGAAATAAGTATAAAACTCAAACATTAAACAAGCACAACATTTCCTAACACAACCACAATATTAAACAATAGAATTAAAATTAAAATGCGAAAATAAAAATCACATTACATTACAATCCACAAAATATTACTCAACATCTATTAAACTACACATGCAAATTTAAGTACCACATTAACTTTATAACAATAATTAAAATTATCCAACATAATAATAAAAATGAAAGTCCAAATACACCTAAACATCCATTTCTATTACAAAAGATCACAAAAATGAAAGTACTAATACAAGTACATCAATTCTATTCAAATATCAAAATCTCAAGCTATTTCTTCCTCTCTTTGATCAGCAGGTGGATCGGGCTGATACTGAGTATATCGGGGGCATTCAGGG